TGGATACAATCGGACAGTGTGTCTACTAGGTAGTGCGAGGAAATAAGGGCATCAGTGGGTTGGGATTAGGGTAGTGATGGCGAGAGAGCCAAAGGTCGGGATTGTCTTGTTGCTTCGGCTTGTCTGGTTTTTTTTGGTCTTCCTATCGAAAGAAGGAGACAGAGTTGATAATTTTTAAGAATGATCGCGCTTTGAAGATTCTCTCATACTCACTCTTTGGTGGTTTATTTTGTAGTAATGTTTTACTTGGCTTCTTTCGGATTAGTTGCTGTCTTGCGCTGCGACGATTTTTATTGCCGACGATCAGTTTCACTTGCATGGCTGGTGTGTCCTTGAATACGTCTTCGTAAATGGTATGCATATCTTTCTTGAATGATTGAAAACGTTTCTCGTGTGTGTAATGGATGATCAACTTATGCCCATAAGATTTGGCTTTACGGGTCACTGCAGTGGTACCGATATGACCGGTATTCAAAATAGGATCTTCATCGTGAGTGTCGATGGCGGCTACAGAGATTGCTAGTTGCGCTTGGGGAGCCGTGGGTTGCATACTGAGTTTGTTATAGAGTAGGCTATATTGCTGATCAGTGGCAAAATCTGGTAGAAAAGTTGATGAAGATTGATATTCAGTAGTGAACTTGCGATATTGGCGGTCTATGAAGGATGAGGGATAACTAGAAATAGATGAATGAATGGGAAAACCATCTCATCGCTGCAAATTCTAGGCTCATTACTCACCCATTGTACAGTAGCATGAGTTTGATATTGCGTTGTTCATTTTGGTAGGTTCGAAAGGTCGACGAATATCGAACGGCTCTTGTTAGAGCGGTTTGTACAACATTTGCGAATACATGTTAAGGATGATCGGAGATGAATGGTATCACACAAGGTTCCGCTGCTGGTTTATGATACACGGATGTTGCAAGAACGCCATTTTCATTAGTTACGAGCACATCCAGAAATGGTAGGCTTTTGCCAATTTTGTAGTCTAATTTAGTATTAGCATGCCATGTATTTGCCTTATCCAATGATTCTTTCAAGTCTTCTTCAGATCCGTTCCAAGTCATGAACACGTCATCAATATATCTATGAACAATGGATGAAACAACTTCAGGTCCAATCAGCCGTTTAAGCACCTACCGGCCGAACACTTCACCTGCGTTCTTTTGTTCATTAACAAATTTCTTTTGCCACTTCCACATGAAAATATTCGCTAGTGTTAATGTAAACGATGAACCCATTGCACCACCAAGAATTTGACGATAAATCTTGTTACCATAGACAAAAACATTCTCTTTCACGACGATAGCTGCTAATTGTCGTATTGTATTCAGAACTATTCCTTGCACTTTCTTGTATCCGTATTCGTGAAGAAATTCCATCAGGTTATCCAAAGCTTCTTCTTGTGGTAACATTGTGTATAGATTATGAATGTCAAAGGTGCAAAAGAGGGTAGATGGCTTGAGAGGGTGTGAGGGTGAGGGTGAGGGTGTGAGGGTGTGAGGGGTGAGGGTGAGAGGGTGAGGGTGAGGGTGTGAGGGTGTGAGGGGTGAGGGTGAGGGTGTGAGGGTGTGAGGGGTGAGGGTGAGGGTGAGGGTAAGGGTGTGAGAGATATTCAAAGGCATCAGAGGTTGAAAGCATCACACGACGTTTCGTCCTTGCTTAAGGGACTCATCAGGCATGTTAACAACCTATTGTCATATATATCCAAGACTCTCCAAATCAATGAAGAAGTCAAGAACAAATCATGACACATCCAATAACAGTTGAAAGATATTCAAAGGCATCAGAGGTTGAAAGCATCACACGACGTTTTGACACCTGCGATGAACGCAGTGTAGAAAATCTGGCGTCTGAATTGGTTTTTGGTAGGGTAAT